CTGTCTTCGGTGACCTGCGGCGCATAAGCTGCTAGCCGCCCAGGTGCTCATCGCCTCACTTAATCAGGCAGACCGAATCCAAGCTCTCACATTGCAGTGTTGTAGGGAGGCCTTTCTATTTCTCTATTTCTCTATCTCCGCGCATTCCTATTTCTCCCATTTTACTTCTACCAGCATTCCTATTTCTCTCACTTTACTTCTAAACTTCTGTTTCTCTTATCCCCGCAGCTTCCCGCTCTCATTCCATTTCTAAACTTCTGTTTCTCTTATCCCCGCGGCTTCCCGGCTGCGCCCGCCCCGAGGCTGCTTCTCGGCAGCTTTCCGGCGCCTCGCCCTGCCGGCAGCTTCACGGCTCCGCGCGGCTTCGCGGCTCTGCGCGGCTCGGCTTCGCGCGCTCCGCGGTCTCCACGCCCTTCGCGTCTGTACCACGGCCTCGCGCCAGCCCCGTTCCCTATCTACTTGTGCCCCGCACGCTCTCTCTGCGCACGGCAGCCTCCGCGAGTCACACAGCGTAGCTTACGTGTCCGCCACTAGCATTCAATCTAAGTTCCCCGGGCTAGCCTGGCGAATTCAACCCAGCATACGTCTCCGCCCCACGGTTTGGCTTCCCGTCCTTTGCTCCCCGGGCTAATCAGACGGATCCCAACCAGGCTCACGTTTCAGCTTCTGGTTTCAACTTTTCGCCCCCTATTCCCGGGCTAACTTGAGAATCCCAAAGTGGCTTTCGTATCCGCCTCGGCCTGCCCCCCGCGGCTTCAATTTCCCTAACATTTTTCTCTACCCGGTATGTTTCCCCAAGCTTTCCTCCAACAATACTCCTCCCTCATTTCTCCTGGCCTCTCCCCACAGTCCATATCCGAGTCTGTTTGTTCTAGCTTTCACTTTCGCTTTCGACCTTAGAGATTTCTCCCAGCTTCCCCCCGTAGTCCGTATCTGAGTCTATACCTAGGCTTTCAATAGCTTCTTCCGGCACCCTTTTCGTCCGGCTTTTCCCTAGGCTGTTTGCTAGTCTCTCTCTCCGGTATTTTCCCAGTTCTTCCCGTTTCTTCCCTCCTAAGTTTGCTATCCGTTCTAGGTTTCCTATCCGAGTCAGGTTTCCTATCCGAGTCACGGCACCATTATGTCGCTCCCCCTCTTCATGGAGGAACGACACTAAACCCTGCCTGGGCTTCATATCCGAGTCACGGCACCATTATGTCGCTCCCCGTCTTCGTGGGGGAACGACACAGGACCCTGCGCTGTTCTTTCGTCTGCTCGGCCCTCCCCGGGTTTGCTGCTGGTTCTTCCCGGGTTGGCTACTATCCCTTCCACCTCCGTGGAAGGGCAGTTCCCCCTGGCCGCATTCCCCACTTCCGCAGGGGAGCGGCACACCGCCGGCCGGTTCTCTCGGGGGCTGCACGGGTTCCCTTAGATGTTCCCCATAGATGTTCCTGGTGCATGCCATCTCTCTCCTCCTTTATAGTCCTCCTCCGCCAATCCTAACTCGGCTGCCCACACGCCGAGTACGCTGCTCTCCTCCAATCAATAGCAAGTCCTACAGTTTATTAGTTGAACTGGAGGCAGCTGTGCGGAAGCTGTTTACTTCTCTCCCAGCGCCATATTGTGGGAGAGCAGATGCATAGAATAAGTCTTAATTCCAGTAACTCAGTCCAGTCCGGATTGCTCCCCACAAGGTGTTATCAAATTCTTTCAATTTCTATTTTTTATGGAAGTCTTTATTTCACCTTCAATCATTAATGACAGCCTGGCAGAGTACAGTATTCTGGGTTTACAGGCTTTTTTTCTCTTAAGCCTTGGACTATATTGCCATTCTCTTCTAGCCTATGGGATTTCTGATGAGAAGTTAGCTATGATTCTAATTGGAGATTCTCTGAAAATAATCTGGTGTTTCTCTCATGCACACATTAGAAACTTTTCTTTATGTTTAATGTGGTGAGTTTGACTACAATGTGTTGTGGTGAAGATTTTTTCTGGTTATGTCTGTTAGGAGTTCTATGTGTTTCCTGTACTTGGACTTCCCTTTCTTTCTTCAAACTAGGGAAGTTTTCTGCAATCATTTCACTAAAAAAAGGTCTTCTAATCCATTCTCTCTTCCCATGCCTTCGGTCTCAGAAAACTCCTAAGACCCATATGTCGGGTTGTTTGGTAGTAGCCCCCAAATCTCCAAGACTGTTTTTTAGTTTTCTAATTCCTTCTCCTTCTCTCTCTTTATCCTTTTTTTTTTTTTTGCCTGACTATAAATTTTCAGAGGATGTCTCCAAATTCAGATATGCTTTCTTCTGCTTCACCGAGTCTGTTGTTAAGGCTTTTATTATTTATTATTTAAATTATTCAATTCTTCATTTCCAATATTTCATTTTGATTTCTCTCTAAAAATCTCAATTTCATGGGAAAAATTTCTATTCATGTCATGTATGGATTTATTTAATTCATGGGTTTGCTTCTGATTACTTCTTTTTTTATTTATTTTATTTGAAATCAGAGTTACACAGAGAGAGAAGATGTAGAGACAGAGAGAGAGAGAGAGAGAGAGAGGTCTTCCATCCACTGGTTCACTCCCCAGTTGGCTGCAATGGCCACAGCTGTGCCAATCTGAAGCCAGGATCCAGGAGCTTCTTCCAGGTCTCCCTCGTGGGCACTGGGGCCCAAGGACTTGAGCTATTTTCCACTGTTTTCCCAGGCCACAGCAGAGAGCTGGATTGGAAGTAGAGAAGCTGGGGCTCGAACAAGCACCCATATGGGATGCCAGCACTGCAGGCAGCAGCTTTACCCTCTACACCACAGCATTGGCCCCTGATTACTTCTAATTAATCCTATGATCAATTTTTTAAATTCCATTTCTGGTATTTCTTCAATCTCTTCATTTTCACATTCTAGTATTGAAGTGTTGTTTTGTCCCTTTGGTGGCATCATGTTTGTGGGGAGCAACTGAGACTAGGCTAAGTTACTGGAATTAAGACTTATTCTATGCATCTGCTATCCCACAATATGGTGCTGGGGAGGAGTAAACTTCTACGCAGCTGCCTCTCACCAACTTGACAAACTGCAGGAGCTGATCCTGCTCCTGATTGGAGGAGAGCAGCGTGCTCGGCGTGTGGGTAGCAGAGTTGGGATTGGTGGAAGAGGACTACAAAGGAGGAGAGAGACAACAAGCACCAGGAACATCTAAAGGGAACATCCGGATAACATCTGAGCAGCCCCCGAGAGAGCTGGCCTGTGGTGTGCCACTCCCCCACGGAAGTGGGGAAAGTGGCAGGGGGAACTGCCCTTCCACGGAGGTGGAAGGGTCGGCAGCCAACCCGGGAAGGACCAGCAGCAAACCCGGGAAGGGCCGAGCAGACAAAAGAACAGCGCAGGGTTTAGTGTCGTTCCTCCGCGAATGGGGGAGCGACAATGTTGTCTTCCTTATTCTTGTTTCTTGAATCACTGCATTTATTTTTAGGCATTTGTGGAGATACTTGTATTTTTTTTCTTTTTTCCCTTTGATGGCTTTTATCTTTGGACTATGCCTCTGTGTCTCAGTGGTTGTCCCCCCCCTCAGTGAATATTCAAAGGCATGTCTGGGTGTGGTCAGGAAGTTCTGTTCATTGTTCCAGAGTGAGGGGAGTGTTCAAGGTGACAACCAAGTTGGGGATGGTAATTTTTTTTTTTTAAATCAGAGGGGAAGTTTGTTCAGCTCTGCTGGCATAGTCTCACACTCACCTCCTCTACACAAAGGAAACCAATGCCTGGAAGCTAACCCTAGTGGATACAACATTCATCCTTACTGCCACACGAACCACATAAAGGATATGTGCAGTCCTCAGTGTGAGCACAGATCCCACAGCAATAATCCTCACCAGGAAATCAGGGAGCCCCAAGCATGTGGAGCTGCCCACGTGACTGCCCAAAGACCCAGCCACATCCTGCACCCTCTATTGCAGCTACAAAGTTTTCACAGTCATAGCACAGCTCCCACAGTCATGAGCACTCAGCCTCCTGTCAATTCTCCTAGCCAGACTCAGGTATCTCCTTTCAGCTGGTTGCTGGGCATGCAGACACCAGCTGGTACAGCTGTTATGTATGTCCAAAATGGAGCTCGCCCTCGCTCAGCTAGTTGTAGGATGCTTATATAAAAAACAAAATGCTTATATAAAATGGGCAGGTAGATTATATAACTGGATCCTTTGTGATGGTATATTGCAAGCCCCAGCCTCTACCTGTCAGAAAACAGGAAGAAAGACCAAGGTCTTTCAAAGACTTCATGATAGCAAAAGGCAGACAAAGGCAGCTGGTACAAACTGATTGGATCCAATATAGTGTTCAGATTAATCACTACCTGACCTCCAGCTTCATTATATCCTCATTGTAATGCATTAGCATCATAGAAATCATCCCTTTCACTATATGACATCCTACAAAAGTGGCCATATAAGGAAAGAAAAGAAGTAGATCCCTAGTTCCTAGAAGTCGCCACCTCTTTCCCAGAAATAACATAAATATTCCAACATCCCCTTAACATGCATTTCCTGGACTCCATAAACGTAGAACCCCTACAGCCCACAGGTGCTTTTCTGTCCATGGAGTATACTGGTCTTAACTGCTTTCTTTAATAAAATGCTCTTGCTTTCACTTTTCTGGCTCACAATAGATTTCTGTCTTCTGTTGAAGTCAAGAACAAGGCAAAAACCATGGTGACCCATCCATAGTCCCCAGCTGTCCAGTATTACTTTTTTGAGCCTAAAATTTTGAAATCCTAATATTTGATTTATATTTTCTATCCAGAAGACCCAATCAGGAACATCATATCTGTGTAAACAGAAAAATCTGAGGATACTTCAACAAGTACATGGAAAAGTGGTATTAAAAATAAGTGTGCAAAATTTCTTTTAAATTTATGCATAACATTTTCATAATATGTATTTTCATATTTAAGTATTTTGAAGTCCTCTCATACAATCAATTATAATAGCTGTGACACTTAAAGCAAATTAAATTAGTAAAATACAAAGTAATCTTACTGTAGAACGCTTCCAGAAACGAATAATTTCATTGATATTTGATGCAGGATGAAGTAAAAAGTAGTCCCTCCATTCATCCCAGTCTATTGTCATTGTCCCATCAGCGTCAATGCTGAAATTAAAAAAAAAGTGCCTATAACATTTGTATAATAAAGTTAGTGCCATTATTAAAAATCAAATACTTCTTAAATATTTATGTTGGGGCATTTATTTGTATTTCACGATTTTCATACTGGATTTTTAAAAAATACTTTTTAAAGAACAGTTTCAATTTTCAGAAAAATTGAGAGCAGAGTACATGTAATTGCTTTAAATCCTCAAATCCTATTTCCCCTATTAGTAACACCTTACATTATTATGAGACATTTGTTACACTTAACCAATATTAATACACTATTATTAACTAAAGTGCATATTTTATTAACATTTTCTTAGTTTTCAGTTAATGTTCTTCTTTGTTTCAGGGTCTCCTCTAAGAGGTTACATTCTGTTTAGTAATCATGTCTCTTAAGGCTCCCGAGAGCTATGCCAGTTTTTCAGTCTTCCCTTGTTTTGATAACCTTACAGTTTAAAGTACTGAACAAGTATTTAGTAGAAATCCCCTTTACTAGAATTTATCACATATTGCCTGTTTAATTATTTGTATGAGGGCTTTTAATGAAAAAGCCATTGTAATCCATAAACTGTACTTTGGAAAATTATATTTACTAAATAAAAGTGTTTATAATAAAAAAAAAGTTCTTGGAAAATGAAATTAAAAGATAAGTTTATTTTAGTGCAAAAAAATTTCAAAATCCATGCACACATTTGTTTATCTCACATCTTCCTGTAATCTCTTGAAGAGAAAAACAATTTCTAAGTCACCTGTGTAGCTATAGCACTGAGATTTTTGACAAATGAATGAGTAATAAGTGAATGAAATTGACTGAAGACCAACCTTATACCTTTTGGCTCTTCTAATATTTTTGTCTCTGATCCTTTTCTCCCTATTTATAGTTTTTAAAGTCAATTTTAAAATGACCTTGTATGAATTTAAAGCGATGAGTATTCATGCAAAATTCATGATTTACTTAATATTAAGACTCTCAAATTTTAAAAAATCAAACACTGCTTCTTCGTGTCTGAATAAAAGGTAAAACTAACTAAAATGCCTTTTCAATAGAAATTATAAAAAATTAATTCCAATCTGTCAACATAAAGATTAATCCAATTCTAGTTCCAACAAACACAAAATAGTAGATATAAAACTTGTATTCCCACTGGAAACAATTATGAAACTAGACATAATATCTGTTTTCAGGCACTGGTCTACTAACAAGAATAGGTTGTGGTACTTGAAGGAAGACAAACAAACGAGTTGGGCCCATCCAATTCACTCTGGCTTCTGGCTGCGGACACCTTGCAACTGTAGCTTGGTGAGTAGAAGCCTTAGAAGAGATGAGATGGATAGAATAAACAGAGACTGGAGCTCAATATTGCTGAAGGGACAGGAATTTGCAAGGCAAATTTTTGGAGGGCACTCTAGAAACTATGTAGGTATCCCTTGGACCTTTGGCTGAGCACCAAACTACACGTGACTCCACCAACCTGACAAAAATAGCTAATGGATATTAAATTCTGTAGATGATAGCAATGTTGGAGTTCAAAAAGGAAACAAATGATAGTAAGAATGGAGAAAGAAAGAAATGTTATATAAGGGGGGCAATGAAAAACACAACCACTGACTTCTCATAAAAAAAAAAATGCAGGCTAGCAGACACCTTAGTTACAACTTCAAAGTGCTGGGGGAAAGAACTGTCAACCTATGATCCTACAGACAAGAAAAATAACCTTCAAGAATGTCAGATAAACAAAAATATTACTATAAAATTCACCAGCATGCAATGCCCACTTCAATCTGCTTTCTCCTAAGACACTATATTGTGATCACCTGGAACTATCTCTCCTACTAGCCTAAACTCCAGACGCAAAAACTGTGGTTAGTTCACAACTGTATCCTGTTCACCTGTAGTTAGGACTCTAGGTCTGAGGACTCTAAAGTCACACATGCCATCACATTTGTCATTATAACTCAACAATATTCGATTCTATGCAGAGAATTATCAAAGTACTAGACATTTGGTGACATTTGGGATGAATCCACACTAGTATAATTTAAGGGATGCAGTGAAAGTCAGGGTTTGGGAACTCATACACAAAAGGATTCTAAAATGAATCAAAATGTGTACTTCACACTGATCGCTTCTCAAACCCAGGCAAGTGTGAGAATGAACACACTACCACCAAGCCTCTCTGGGCTGTGAAAGCAGACCTCACACGGAGCAGTTTGTGTTTCACAGGGAGAAAGATCATGGCATATTAAGGGGTGAGAGGGTCCAAAAAGCATTAGGTTCCCTTTCATCTCTCTGCCTTCTACTACCTCCTTCCTTCTGACCTTTTAAAATAACTTCGTATGGGACTTTAATTGTGGATTGGTTAAACCACTATTTGCAACTCCAGCAATCCACATCGGAGGGCTGTTTCAAGTCCTGGCTGCTCCTTCTGTTTCAGCTCCCTGCTAATACGCCTGGGAAGGCAGCAGAAGATAGCCCAAGAACTTGGGCCTTGCCACTCATGTGAGAAACCAGGATCAAGTGCCTGTCACAGCCCCAGCCCCTGGCCATTTGGGGAGTGGATCAGTGAATGGAAGATCTCTCCTTCTCTCTCTGTCACTTGGCCTTTCAAATAAATAAAATGAGTATTTTTAAAAAATAAAAAAAACTCCTTAAAATAAGTTGTATCTGTCCTTTATACAAAAACACAGTGGTTGCAACCTTAGAATCTTTTCTTCAAAAGCTTAAGACATCAAACAAATCAAAGTTTAAGATATAAAACAAATGATTATAGAACTGTTTGGTTCAAGCAATAGGGGGAAGCTAGGAGTGTGCTCTAAAATGTCTCCCCAACATTCCTCACACACACACACACAGTCCCCATTAAGGACAGTCTGAGAAACCATTACACTGGGAGTATGTATAATTTCAGTTTGTTTCTGTTGCTAAAAATGGTCACTCACCTAATGGAATTACTTTGGAAGTTGTTTTTGTTTTAAAATATTCCACAAAGGTTCAATACATTTTGATTAATATGTAATAATTGTACATATTTATGTAGTATTTCAATACTCCTATACAGTGTATACTGGCCAGATCGTAATAATGAGCATTTCATCTCCTTATCCCTGTCATTCTTATATTTGAATCTTTGAGCTCCTCTCTTTTAGTTCTTCATAAAATATAATATAGGCTGCTGTAAACTATAGTCAGCCTACTGTACTGTGGAACACTGGACTGCAGTCCTTCTCTCTGCTTTGGTATCTACTAACCAATTTTATTTCATCCCCCTCCCAAGCTCCAGTGATCACTATTCTATATTCAACTTTTTTTTAGCTTTCACGTAAAAAAAGAACATGCAGTATGTGTCTTTCTGTGCCTCACTTATTTCACTTAAAATAATGTCCTCCAGTTTTATCCATTTTGTTCCAAATGCCAGGATTTCTTTTATTTTTTTCCCCATTTAAAAGGTTTTTAAATTTTATTTAAGGTATACAAACTTCACGCATTTCATAAGTACAAATTTAGGAACATAGTGATTCTTCCCACCCTACCCTCCCTCCCACCCAATATTCCATGGTGCATTTATACCACTTTTTATTCATCCATTCGCTCATGAATGGTGTCTAGGTTGATTCCATATCTTAGATACGGTAAATAGTGCTGCAATGTCCATGGGAATGTAGGTATCTCCTTGATATGCTAATTTCCTTTCCTCTGGACATATCCCAGAAGTGGGATAGCTGGGCCATATGGTAGATCTATTTTTAATTTTCTAAGGAACCTTCATACAATTCTTCAAAATGGTTGTACTAATTTGCATTTTCACAAACAGTGTATCACTGTTTCCTTTTCTCTACATCTTCTGCAGCACTTTTTATTAATAGTCATTCTAACTAGGGTTAGATCATATTTTATTGTGGTTTCTACTTGTTCATGGATTTTAAGTTGCTTTTAAAGAAACAGATTCAAAATGAGGATAGAATTAAGCAAATTCTACAAGCAGATTTGTTCACAAAGTTATATAATAAGGGAGTAAATACCACATTTATAGTAATTAATTCCCAATATAGAGTATAAAATACAAATAAAAACTTAAAATAAGGATAAGGGCTGACCTTTTCAGAATCTTGTTTGCCTGAACTTCAGAAATATCTATACCCAATGATTTCACAGCAGCAATTACCTCTGAAGCTTCTATCATTCCTTTAAAAATGAGAAAATATCAAGTTAAAGAATCTGAAAACAAGGAAAAATATATTTAGAATGCAGATCATTAAAAGTCCATTATAATCTCATGTTCACAACCCAAAGCCTGAAAAGCTATAAAAAGTGAACTTTTTGGTGACGAAACTTGCCTTAAACTGACATGAGGTTGGGGTGGACATGTGGCACAGCAGTTAAGCAGATGGTTAGGATATTCCCATCACACATTGGAGAGTGCCTGGGTTCATGTTTCATAATATGCTCAGCTTTCCTTGTGTGGAGCTAAATCAATTTATATCTGCAGTACCCATTTTTTCTGCACTCCTATGTGGTGCTCACTTCTCTGTGGGGCAGCCTTTTAATTACAAAGAACCAGTACAATAACAAGTCCTTAAAAATGCAATAGCTTCAAGTCATTACTATTTCTCTTAGGCCTATACTGTATAAGTTGTTGCCAGAGAAAATGGCTGAGGAGATCGGTGGTAGTACCTTTTAATTTGCTGCTAATTTTTTACAGAGGTACAAATGTCTGAAGTCCCAGTTCCACTCCCAATTCCAGCTTCTTGCTAAGATGCATCCTGGGAGGCAGGAGGTAATAGCTCAAGTACTGGGGTCCTGCCACCTATTTGAGAAACCTAGTTGACGTTAGGGCTCCTGGTTTCAGACTGGCCCAGCCCTGGCAGTTGTGGACATTTGGAAAGTGAATTAGCAGATGGGAGATTGCGCTCTCTCTCTCTCTCTCCCTTTCAAATAACTTAAAAATAAATTTTAAAAAATGTTTAAAGGTAAAATGGTTAATATTAATCAATTATTTTATCTAATTTAGTGTGCATATTCATGTTTCTCTGTAGAAATGTTCATGTTCACAATTGCACAGTGGCGCCCAGACCCCACTTGCATCATATATGCATTGTTACTTTTCAAAAATCCAATTTTTAAATCTTGTTATACATTTGGCCTAAGAGTTTCCAATAAGAAGTTACAGATCTATAATAGATTCTTGATTATATGCAAAAAGCTGAAAAAGCTAATTCTGAAGATCTGATTCATGGACATGAAAATAAGGCCACTCAATGTTGTATAAGGTAAGATTCAAAAGAGATTAACATACTTAAAAAGCAGGACCAAATTCTTTTTAACATAAACATATCCTATGTTAAGTAACTCAAGTCAACAAATATATTTCATACAAACCTACGCTGCAACAAATGGGGAACTATAAACCAGAGACCACCAAAGAAATGAATACATTTCAATAAAAGGTACGGTGTAAGCAAGGTACACTTATGTATTTAACAAATATTTACTGCATATTTACATATGGTATTAGAAATTGGGATAATAGTTACTTTGGCAGGGACAGTGATTGGGAGGGTGTCGCTCCCCCTCTTCGTGGAGGAACGACACAGGACCCTGCACTGTTCTTTTGTCTGCTCGGCCCTCCCCGGGTTTGCTGCTGGTTCTTCCCGGGTTGGCTACCATCCCTTCCACCTCCGTGGAAGGGCGGTTCCCCCTGGCCACTTTCCCCACTTCCGCAGGGGAGCAGCACACCGCCGGCCAGCTCTCTCGGGGGCTGCACAGGTGTTCCTTCAGATAGATGTTCCCCGGTGCATGTTGTCTCTCTCCTCCTTTATAGTCCTCTTCCACCAATCCCAACTCTGCTACCCACACGCCGAGTACGCTGCTCTCCTCCAATCAGGAGCAGGTCCTGCTGTTTATTGGTTGAACTGGAGGCAGCTGTGTAGAAGCTGTTTCCTCCTCTCCCAGCGCCATATTGTGGGAGAGCAGATGCATAGAATAAGTCTTAATTCCAGTAACTTAGTCTAGTCCAAGTTGCTCCCAGTTGCTCCCCACAGGAGGGGTCACAAAAGTGATGCTTCTGAGATGCCAGTAGTGTTCTGCTTCTTGATCTGCAAGTGGCATTCATGCATGATCACCATGTAAAAATTCCTAATGTTTATATACCTATAATTTATATACTTCACTGATTATGTTCTATAAGAATGTAATCTTCCTAAAAAATAGTCAGGGTCAAACCTGAAATGCCATTTAATCAGAGCTCTCACTTTGGTAATTCCCCAGCTATGCCTTTGTTCAAGCTATTGCCTCTATTCAAAAAGCTCTTCTTCCATTTGTTTATATATTGATTCAGCACAAATCTAAAGTGCCTCTGGACAAAATTAAGTTTCTCTTGTATCAATTATAGTCTACTTTGCATAAAGCTATGTATGTTTATTTTCATTTAATCCAAAACCATGTGCTTCTGAAGATTTTGTTAGCACAGCTCCTGGTATATTAGTTCATATGTAATGCTCAAACAATGGCTGAATTAAAATATATTAAGTATATTTAAACTAAAAAAAATCTAAAAACAGAGGCAAATATGTAGGTAAAATATTAGTTATATAGTCCAAAATACAATCAAGAACCACGGATTGAAAAGGAGACTCAATGTTGCTTTTAATTATATGCAACAAGATTTCACTGTCAGACTTGAAATGGATTCAGTGGGATGACAGTATTTAGATGGATGGAGAGGAGAATTACAAGCATTCTAGCACTGTAATTCCAGAGAGAATTGTAAAATATTCCTTTCCTGTACCAGTAATCTATTGTTAACAAATCACCACAAAATCTAGTGGTTTGAAAAGAATGTATTGTTCATTGAACTTGGTTCAGCTGGTTGATTCTTCTGGTGGTCTTGTCTGGATCATTCATCTGAATTCAATAATCTGCAGGTCGAAACACACCTGGCAGTTGAATAGCTTCAATGACATGTCTCTCATCTAAGATGACAATGCAGAACAGTGATGACTAGGTGGACATCTCTTGCATGCGGTCTCTCTAGTAGGCAGCTAGATTTCTTTACTTGTCATTCAGAGTATTCAAGAGGCATCATTCCAGAGAGATAAGTCCCAGTGTACAAGTACTTATCAAGCTTTTCCAGTGTCTCAATGGATAAAGCAAGTCAAATGACCACGCCCAGGTCAATATGGGCTACACTAGGACACAAACCTAAGAGATGTGGTTCATTGGGATAATGCTATGGTTTGAATATGATTTCCCCCAAAAGCTCATGCAGGAGTTTCAGCCTCAAAGTCACAAGTTAATGGTAGTAAGAGGATGGCAACAATCTGACCATGTGTTTAGAAGTGGGACCTTTGGGAAGGGCTTAGATTTGATTAGCACATTAGCATGGAACTCTTATGATTGAAAACTGGTGGTTTTCTCATGTGAAAAAGAGAGAGCTCATAGGCAGAGACACACATGTGCTCCCACTGTGAGGTTATGCAGATCAAGAAGGCCCTTCCAAGAGCCTGTGTAATGCTATTTGGACCTTGTACATCCAGAATTATGACCCCAAATAAATCTGTTTTATTCATAAAGTATTCTGTCTTGGATATTTCATTATAGTTGTGAAAAATGTGACTGATATGATAGCTAATGTAAAGCAATATTATTTTATCCTCCAAAATCATAGTATTTTCATATGTAAAATGTAGCTGCTGTGAGAATCATCTATTATAAAAACAAGATATGCAGTTAAAGTAGCTAGAACAGATATAGCATATAGAATAATCCAATAAAATGCTCATTTCTTTCCCTCCATTCCCCTAATCCCTAAAAAACTCCATCCAACAAAGAAACTTGAAGGTGAAATTATGAATGGTAATTACCTTATTCACATATTTGCAACAGCATTCCATTGACATTTTGGAAGAAAAACACAGGGGTTTGGATATTTCTTTTTTTAAAAGATTTTATTTATTTATTTATTTGAGAGGCAGAGTTACATAGAAAGGGAGAGACAGAGAGACATCTTCCATCTGATGGTTCACTACCAAATGGCTGCAATGGCCAGAGCTGCGCCATTCTGAAAACAGGATCCAGGAGCTTTCTTCTGGGTCTCTCATGTGGATGCAGAGGCCCAAGGACTTGAGCCATCTCCTGATGCTTTAGCAGGTGCATTAGCAGGGAGCTGGGTCAGAAGTAGAGCAGCCAGGACTCAAACTGGCGCTCATATGGGATGCTGGCATTGCAGGCAGAGCCAGCTATTTCTTAATGAGAGAAGTTAAACTGATGAGTTTACCTTGGGGCTTGAATGCTCCCAGCTAGTGAGTCTAGTAGATCATCAGCACACAGGTCTCCATCCACCTTTGCTGACAAGCATAAGGCCTAGAAATCTCCCAGGCCGTGGGTATGAGGTGGTAAGAATTGAGTCATGTCTACCAGTAATGTGCATGAATATGTGATGAACTGCAAGAGTATCAAGAGGAACAATGACGTTGAAAGGTCTGATGCAGTAAGCCAGATCCAGTAATAGGACTGTAGACGAAATGTTGGCTCTAGGGTCAATGAAAAACTTGATACCAGAAATCACCTTATCCCAGCCACCCCAGAGGCACTTGTATACTTGTACACTTGGCTACACATACATATGAATTCAAGAAGTTGTACTTTGAGGTCCCAAATATTCTGGTATCAGACATAAACATAGAGATTACACTAATTACACATAAACATAGAGAGAGGAGTATATTAGTTTCCTAAGGTTGCTGTAACTTTGTCACAAACTGAATGGCTTAGAACACAGAAGTTGTTTCTCAGTTCTAGAAGACAGAAGTCCAAAATAAAAGTATCAATCAATCGGGTTCATACTCCCTCTCAAGATGTGAGGGAAAGACCTGTTCCATCCCTCTCTTTTAGTTTTTGGTACTTTCAAGTGTCCCCTGGCATTTAAATATGTTGCTCCAGTCCTGACCCCAAAATCACGCAGCAGTCTTCACATTATATTCTTTAGTGTGCCCTTGTCCCTGAGTCTCAATTTCCTCTTTGAAAGGACACAGTTCTAATGGAATTGGACCTACTCTAAAGGCCTCTTTTTTTCTTTTTAAATTTTATTTAAGGTATATAAACTTCATGCATTTCATATATACAAATTTAAGAACATAGTCTCTATGAAGGTTCTATCTCCAAATAAGGTCACATTCTGAAATACTGGAAAGTAGGATTTCAACATACCTTTTCAGGAAGACACAATTTAGTCCATCCTGGATGAGGTATTCTCTTCCTTATACTCAAAAAGCATCCTAGCCAAAGTAAATCTCCTGCTCTATGCACAAAGGTGGTGACTGAGGCATCAGATGTAACAGCAACACAAAAATAAGGCAGTGTAAGCAAAATACCACCTGAGCTCTGCAGATGGCGGACAGTGGTCCTGGTGGCAGCAGTAGAGATTCACCTCTATCTACAAGTACTGCTCAGGTGCTCAAAACAAGACGAGTGAGAACAGGGGTAGTAACTCTCTGAGAATGGTATCACTGCATGACTTTGGCGACTAAGCTGTGTTGTTCCAGCTTGACTTGTCAAGGCAGAAATTAACAGATCTGTAGTGCTATATTACTATGTTACTTTGGGATGTCCTCCTTGTGGTAGAAATTATTGGCCTCAGAGTGTTCTCTACTACCAAGATCTATAAGCACTGATTTTCAGTTTCACCAGGGGCAATATATTCTTATATTCTTACCAATGGTATTCTGATTTCACTGGCTATCTGACAAAATGATTTCAGCTTCATAAATGATAATTATGGAGTAACAATGCAGAGAAAAATTCCAAAGCAGCCCTAGAGTACAACTATCAGTCCTAAATCAACAGTAAATGATGAACTGGTCTAATAAGCAGATGTTTAGCACTGTTTCAGAAGCTTCTGGGTATTACTGAATTAGGAGAGTCCAGTTAGGCCTAAACATTCAGCTGAAAAGTACATGGAAGCCTAGAACACTGAGATATGGTTTCTAAGGAAAATGTGACCATGTTTGTAATCACTGTCCACTAAAGCTTGAGATACACAGGTTACACTTTGTTTCATTCAAGAATCCATCAGTAGAATCCTTAAACAAATGGATCTTTATGTACATTTAGAATTTGTCAATCAACAAAAGTTAGATTTCATACAACTTAACTACTAACATATATATTTCTTAAATAGGGTATAACTGGATTCTTTTTTTTTTTTTTTTTTTTTTGACAGGCAGAGTGGACAATGAGAGACAGAGCGAAAGGTCTTCCTTTTCCGTTGGTTCACCCCCTAGTGGCCACAGCAGCCTGCGCACTGCAGCCAGTGCACCACGCTGATCCAATGGCAGGAGCCAGGTGCTTCTCCTGGTCTCCCATGTGGGTGCAGGGCCCAAGGACTTGGGCTATCCTCCACTGCACTCCCGGGCCACAGCAGAGAGCTGGACATGAAGAGGAGCAACTGGGACAGAATCTGGCGCCCCGACCGGGATTAGAACCCGGTGTGCTGGTGCCGCAAGGCGGAGGATTAGCCTTGAGGCGCAGCACCAGCGGTATAACTGGATTCTAATATCCCATAGGTGTTTAGCTACATACGGATGCAGAAGTGGTGTTGTATGTTTAGTCACTCTGATTTAAAGATCTATACCAAAACATAAAACACAACACAGCATATCTTTTCTCTGCAAATTAGTATGCATATTGATCATAGCACTATTTATAAGAGTAAAAGATTAGAAATATCCTAAATGCCTAACAATATGGTAATGATTAGGTAACTCATATTACAATTGGGATATTTCACAGCCATTAAAATTATGCTTGTGAAGAATATTAAATTAAATGAGCATGCTTACAATAAAAATTAGAAAAAAACAGAACACAAAATTATATATAAAGTGTGATTGCAATTTCATTGAAAGAAGGAAGGAGAGATATAAAGAAAGTCTATGAAAATATAAAACCTATCAAAATATTAATATTTTATTAATTAATATTAATATTATTTCTACTTACCAGTTTTACTTCCTTTCTGAAGGTTTTTGTTTTATATAATTTTCTTGCAACCAATATATTTTCATACTCACCAAGAAAATAAGAGATACCATTTAAAAACTACCATAATAGTTTCAGCTCATATATTGCAGATAAAGTGGAAATCCCTACTCACTAAGTAAAGAAGCTTTCAGTTCAGATGACACAGCCTTCTACAACAATTATTTTACCAAGATCCATGCAGGAATCATAATTCTAATAAACAGAATTTATATATTATTCTTAGAAATACAAAAGTTTCATCTATATAACTATCAGAAATAATTGAATCTTTGATAAAGGAAATAAATTAAAGGCTAGTAAAAGTACCGTTTACTACTGACAGCTATTTTCATGTTGAGCTAACTGTGGATGAACTATACACACACCATCACTATTTCTGTCCAGACTATTAAATGCAAGCTTCATTTTTTTCTCATGGTCTTGAAGATATCGCACAAATTCTTCAAAGTCCAATCCTGAATCAGCATTTTTATCCCCAGCCTGAAGAATTTCCTATAAGGAAGAAGAAACTCACTGCAGAGATATATCATGAATAAATTCACTAGATCAAGCTAACATTCGCACATTTCACTCTAATTATGATTGTCATATGCATCAGTTATCCTAGTTTTCAGTCACAGCCACAAGGCTAAGTATATTAAATGATTTTTAAAATTGTGCAATAGTAAAGTCAATAACCATTTTTTCCAAATAATTATGAACCTTATTACTAAGTATGTATCTGAGGTCAACAATAAATATCAAGATCCTCAAGGAAATAAAGACATTAATATACATAATCTTTGCCATTAGGGACAAAAATCTGTTAATTAAATGCAATAAAATATGTGAACTACTAGTGTGTCCCTAGTTTAATGATTTGATATCTAGCCTAGTAAATTGAGAATATGTGCTCAACTCTCACTGGGCCCTTATGTTTTCTTTTAAATAGAAAATTAATAATCTTAAAAATGCATATCATATATTTCTAGCATATTCCTCTCCTACACATCATTGTCTTGGTCATCTTTGTATCATCGATGACTAACATAAAGTAATGCATACACAATCACTTAATAAATATTTGTTGAATCAAAAAATAAATACTCTAATAATTTGATGGTACCAGGTTATAGATTTATATCCCTGTTTTAGTTTGAGTTGATTTTTGTATAAGGTGTAAGATAGGAATCTTGTCTCATACTTTGGCACCTGTAGATCCTATTTTCCCATCAACATTTGTTGAAAAGGCTATCCTTTCTCCAGGGACCGATTTTTGCTCATTTGTCAAGAATCTCTTGGTTGTACATAAGTGGATTGATTTCCAGAGTTTCTATTCTGTTCCATTGGTCTACATGTCTATTTTTGCACCAGTATCAAGCTGTTTTCATTATAACTGCCCTGTAGTATGTCTTGAAATCTGATATTGTGATGTCTCTGGCTTTGTTTTTGTTGCATAAGATTGCTTTACCTATGTGGGGTTTCTTGTGTTTCCATATGAATTTTAGCATCATTTTTTTCTAGATCTGAGAAGAATGTCATTGGTATTTTGATTGGGATAGCACTGAATCTGTAAACTGCTTTCAGTAGTATAGTTATTTTGATTATATTAATTCTTGCAGTCCATGAACATGGAAGATTTTTCCATTTTTTTGTCTTCTTGTATTTCTTCATTTGATGTTTGGAATTTTCATCATAGAGATCTTTCACTTCCTTCATTAAATGTATCCAAAGGTATTTAATATTTTTGTAGCTACTGTGAATGGGACTATTTGTGTATACAAAGGCTATTGATTTTGTGTGTCGATTTTATGTCCTGCAACTTTTTAAAAAAAAAATTTATTTATTTATTTATTTGCAAGTCAGAGTTCAAGAGAGGAGAAGTGGGGGGGGGGGGTAAGTGGGGGGTGTCTTCCATCCAATGGTTCACTCCCAAATTGGCCACAATGACCAGAGCTGTGCTGATCCAAAGCCAGGAGCCAGGTGCTTCTCCTGGTCTCCCACGTGGGTGCAGGGGCCCAAGAACTCAGACCATCTTCTACTTCTTTCCCAAGCCATAGCAGAGAGCTGGAATGGAAGTAGAGCAGCCAGGTCTCAAATGGGTGCCCAAATGGGATGCCGGCACTTCAGGCCAAGGCATTAACCCGCTGCGCCACAGCACCGGCCTCACGTCCTGCAACTTTAACAAACTCTGCTATGAGTTCCAATAGTCTCTTAGTAGAGTCTTTTGGCTCTCCTAAAAAAGGATCCTGTCATCTGCAAACGGGTATAATTTGACTTCCTCCTTTCCAATTTGTATCCCTTTGATTTATTTTTCTTACCTAAAGGCTCTGGCTAAAACTTCCAGAACTATATTGGATACCAACGGTGGAAGTGGACATTCTTGTGTGGTTCTAGATTTTAGTGGAAACACTTTCAACTTTTCCCCCTTCAATAGGATTCTGACTGTGGATCTCCCATATATTGCTGTGATTGTGTTGAGGAATGTTTCTTGTATACCCAATTTGCTAAAAGTTTTTTTTTTTTATCATGATAGGATGTTGCATTTTATCAAATGCTTTCTCTGCATCTATTGAGATCAACATATTGTTTTTATTCTTCAATTTGTTAATATATAACATTGATTGACTTGCATACCAGGGGTAAATTCCACTTGATCCGGATGAATGATCTTTCTGATGTGTTTGTTGTTGGACTCAATTAGCAGTATTTTTGTTGAGGATTTTTGTAACTATGTTCATGAAGGATATTTGTCTACAGTTCTCTTTCTACACTGTATCTTTTTCAGGTTTTGGAATTAAGACAATGCCGTCCTCACAGGAGTTTATGAGGATTCTCTCCCACTTGTTTTAAATAGTTTGAGGAGAATTGAAATTAGTTCTTTAAAAGTTTGGTAGAATTCAGCACGGATGTCATTCAGTCCTCAACTTTTCTTTTTTGTGAGGGTCTTTATTATTTTTTTGAAAATTAATCATATTTTATCGCATAGGAGAAAATATATTCCCATGGTAAGATAATATAATTAGTATTATTTACATACATTTAACTGTGGTTAAATATTGTCGCTCCCCCTCTTCGTGGAGGAACGACACAGGACCCTGCGCTGTTCTTTCGTCTGCTCGGCCCTCCCCGGGTTTGCTGCTGGTTCTTCCCGGGTTGGCTACTATCCCTTCCACCTCCGTGGAAGGGCGGTTCCCCCGCCACATTCCCCACTTCCGCAGGGGAGCAGCACACCGCCGGCCGGCTCTCTCGGGGGCTGCACAGGTGTTCCCTTAGATGTTCCCCTTAGATGTTCCCGGTGCATGCCGTCTCTCTCCTCCTTTATAGTCCTCCTCCGCCAATCCTAACTCGGCTGCCCACACGCCGAGTACGCTGCTCTCCTCCAATCAGGAGCAAGTCCTACAGTTTATTGGCTGAACTGGAGGCAGCTGCGTAGAAGCTGTTTTCTTCTCTCCCAGCGCCATATTGTGGGAGAGCAGATGCATAGAATAAGTCTTAATTCCAGTAACTCAGTCCAGTCCGGGTTGCTCCCCACAAATATCATATAAATACAGGTGATTATATAGATTTTCCTCATATATTACTGTGGGAATACAAATGGTATAATCACTTTATAAAAGTTTTTTATGAAAACTTTTATTTAATAAATATAAATTTCAAAGTACAACCTTTGGAATATAGCATTTTCCCCCCATAATCACCCTCCCACCCACAAACTAGCCCATCTCCTACTCCCTCTCCCATTCCATTCTTAAGATTCATTTTTAATTATCTTTATATACAAAAGACCAACTTAGTACATACTAAGTAAAGATTTCAACAGATTGCACCCACACAGACACACAAAGTATAAAGTACTGTTTGAATATTAGTTTTACCCTTAATTTACATAGTACAACACATTAAAGACAGAGGTCCTACATGGGGAGAAAGTGCACAGTGACTCCCGCTACTGATTTAACAATTGACACTCCTATTTATAACGTCAGTAATCACCCGAGGCTCTTGTCATGAGCTGCCAAGGCTATGGAAGCCTCTTGAGTTCACAAACTCCCACCTTATTTAGACAAGGCCATAGTCAAAGTGGAAGTTCTCTTCTCCCTTCAGAGAAAGGTACCTCCTTCTTTGATGGCCCATTCTCTCCACTGGGATCTCACTCACAGAGATCTTTCATTTAGGTCATTTTTTGCTGCAGTGTCTTGGCTTTCCATGCATGAGAAAGTCTCATGGGCTTTTTAGCCAGATTTGAATGCCTTAAGGGCTGATTCTGAGGCCAGAGTGCTGTTTAGCACATTTGCCATTCTTTGAGTCTGCCGTGTATCCTGATTCCCATGTTGGGTTGTTTTCTCCTTTTTAATTCTATCAATTATTATTAGTGGACACTGGTTTTATTTATGTGATCCTTTTGACACTTAATCCTATCTTTATGATCAACTATGAACTAAAATGATCACTTTAACTAGTAAGATGGCATTGGTACATGCCAGCTTAATGGGATTTGGAGTCCCCTCAGCGTTTTTTTTTCCCCCAGTTCAGAAGCTCAAGATAGTCACTAGGTCTTAGTCTCCTGTTATTGCTCCCCACCAGAGTCGGGTTTCTCTGCTCAGCTGATTGCCAGGCACAGACACGAACTAGCACAGCTGTTACATATGTCCAATACAGCACCTGCTCTATCGGCTCATACACCTTTGTAAAGTGAGTAAAGAGAAAGAATTGTGTCCATACCATCCCTTTTATTTTTTCTCTCCTCTAGTTAGGCTGATGTACCTTCCCCCACGGGGCTTCAAACCTTGTTCCCCTAGGCTCTTCCTGACGCTTTTCCGCCAGTGTCTCAGGCTACTGTGATCTTGTCTCACCTCACTTTCCTGTGCTGGTGTGGAGGCTCTCTGCAGCTGGAGTCCTGAGCTGTGGGCACCCACACCCTCCACGTAGGTCCACCATGTCCCTCTAATTAAGGAAGAGTTTCCTCTGCAGTTTTTTCCCTAACTCTTCCCTGAGACTACACTATTTCCACTTTTATTAAACTATCTTCTCCTGGACAAGATCAGTAAGCTTCCTCCCTATTCTGCCATCTCAGGAGGGTCTTTATTATTAATTCAATCTCTGCCTTGGTTATTGGTCTATTTAAGTTTTCTATGTCTTCATGACTCCATATTGGGAGATTTGTATGTCTGCAGAAATCTATCCATTTCTTCTAGATTTTCAAATTTGTTGGCATACAGCTGTTTATAGTAATTCCTGATGATTCTTTTTATTTCTGTGGTACCCATTGTTACATAATCTTTTTCAACTCTGATTTTATTGATTTGGGTCTTCTCACTCTTTTTTATTTTTGGTTAGTTGGGCCAATGATGTATGAATTTTGTTTACTTTTTCAAAAAGCTATCTCTTCATTTCACTGATCTCTTGCATCATTTTTTTGTTAGTTTCACTTTTATTTATTTATTCTCTAAATGTAATTATTTTCTTCCTCTTACTAATTTTGGGCTTGGTTTGTTCTTATTTTCTAGATT